TTATAGAACTGGTGGGAGCATGCGCAGTATATTTTTTGCATTCCAACACACCCTAAACGCCAACACAAACTATCAGACGGTTGTTCAAACACGTCATTAGACCAATTTTAGAATTGGTTGTGGACTATCACAATAGTCAGATTCTGATTCCGACGGGGACTAATAGTCAGAGAAACTATTATCACATTTATTATTCATGTTATTAATTTTTCGCCATTGAATTTTCATGTAACGTTTATCAACAATTTTTTTGTTTCACGACATAAACTATATATAGTACAAAATAAATATACTATTATAATATAAATATATTATAAATATAATATATATTATTAACGTCTAAACTGTGTATCTAAAACATTTAAAATGGAAGGTATTTACATATTATCAATTTTTTTTATTAAAATGGCAATTTAATTTTACAAATTTATTACCAATCTCATATCTTATCATTGAAAATCCGAAAAACGTTCCAACAGAGTCCGTGATCAATCCACATGAACGCATGCGCAGTAAATCAATCACGGATTAGTCGGCAACTAATCCCAAATTCCGTGTTGGAACAAACCTAATATTTAATGAAAACGTTCTATGTTGATATTTATTTTAATAATAAGGGGTGATGTTTTACGGTTATGAAATTATGTAGAACGGTATAGGTACAATTCGAGCAGTGTAATATACCTTGATCTTTGATCTTGATCAATTAATAAATGTTGAAAACTCACTCGTAATTTATGTGATATAAAGTCTACGAACGCGCCATCGTGGTCTTGATCAACAAAAAAAAAAATAAATATCTTCACCAGTCATTTTCCGAAAGAACATATATACATATATATATATAAATATATTTTGTAATAAAAGTAATCGTGGTTACCCGCTGACGCGATGAAAAATACAGATATGTAAGGTAGGCAGGCACATTTACAAGTTGGTTTTCTTATTTTTTTATGTTAATATGAATAATACAGCGAACCGTGTAATTTATACCTATAATAGGTATACATAAATAAATACATACACAGATATAGACAGCAGATAAAACGAACAGATCGAGATTATAATATAAGAACAATAATAGTATATTTTTAGAACTTCCTCGTTTCGGTTTGATCTTGTTTGATTTATATACAAACGGAAACCATTTTACATTATAGTAAATGAGATAAAAACGGTGATATTTTTTGATCAATGAGATTTTCGTGCTTTTATCAAAATTTAAGGTTTGAAATCAAGTTATAGTGCACTAGTTGTTATGGCCTAGTGAATCGAATTTGAAAAAAAAAAACGCAACACGAATTATTACGAGAATCGTAATAAAGTAAGTTATGTAAGGAAGTTAGGGTTGCTAACCACTATTCTACATTGGGCAGGACTGTCCTACATTTTTTTAATTTGTCCTACGTTCAACAATGCTATAAACTATTTGTAGGACAATCCTACATTTTACAAAAATACCTATTTATATTTCATTATTATTATTCTTTTAATTTTATCAATTCATTATTTAATTAAGGTGGTAAACGTACAAGTGTTATATTTAATAAGCTAATTAAATAAAAGTGATATAAATAAAATAAATTAGATGTTTTTTTTAGTTATCATTATAATATTATATACTGTCAGTTTCAGTATTAATTTCTGAACTATGCAGTGTAGTAGTCATGAGAGGAATGGGCCATGCATAGGCCGTATTGTTTATACATAAGCAGTAATAAAAGGGGGCTTCTGAGTCCATTTTTACAATTTTAAAATATATCAAGGGAGCTTCTGAATCCATTTATTTACAATTTTAAAATATATCAAGGAGGTTTCTGAATTATACTGATATACACTATATTGTAATACTGTTTTGTTTATACATTTGTTTACAGTTATTTTTTATTATATAAGTGTTAGTTCATTATGTATCAGTTTTATTTAAATTATTTAGTATTACAATATAGTATATCTCAGTATAATTCAGAAACCTCCTTGATATATTTTAAAATTGTAAAAAAATGGACTCAGAAGCCCCCTTTTATTACTACTTACATATAACCAGCATAAATAACCATAGTGATGGTATTTTTATTTTTTACTTTGTATCACTTCACTATCTCCAAAATCCTGGGTACGCCGCTAAACATGGTGTAAATTGTTGGATACCAAAAAAATTGCCCTGAATTAAACAATTTGAAAGTTGGCAACCCTAAAGGTAGTAAATTGGTGTTACCACACACACACACACACACACACACACACACATATATATTAAAAAAGACATTTACATACAGGAATCAGGCATTTTACCTACAGGTCTAATTGTTATTTAAACGGCTAGAGAACGGTAATGAACTCGTATTTAACGGTATACCAGTTTTAAAATATTATCGTGAGTCATACGGGTTCATGGAAAAATAAAAATAATATATATATCGATCAATATTAATTAAACAAAAATCCAGACAAATTATTACCACGTCGGTACATAAAGAGAACCAATCAATTGAATTATATATATATACAATATATTCTATTCTATTAAATAACGTTTTGAACGATATATGACGCCGTCAGGTTTTACGCATTACATGGAATGAAAAAATGGGAATTTTCCAATTAAAATGACAATTTACTCAGAAGTTGTTTATTTACAGTTAAATTGATGGCAATGTTGTCTTTGGTTTCTTAACCGTTAATAATTTATTATTATTTTTTTTTTAATAAATTGTGTTCATTATAAATTGTATTGGTAAATGTTTTACACGCGCTGGATAATTAAAAAAAAAAAAGAATTGAACCACAAATTGCATAGCGATGGTAGAGCGGTGAAACAATAACTAAAATAAACGTCTGTAGTGACAGAACGAACATTTTACCCGAAGATTTTGCAGAAGGAACGCGAATTATATGGTTTAAACTTCTGCGGTTTTTATTTCTTTTTTCTCAGCGACAGCTATATTATTGTCACTATAGCTTTACCAATATGACTGCATGGGAGCAAACAAAAGGATTAGGTTCCAAATTATTTTGAATCCCCCTTCTCTCCCATTCTATTACAAATATTTTTCAATGAGAATAGGAAAAATAAATAAAATTGTAAAAATAGTTACGTTATGTTGACGAACTACTTTCTTGAAGTCACATTCGAGATAATTTGTGGGGAATAAAAGGACTTTTTTTATTTATTGAAGTAAAAGAAATGAAGTAGGAGAGAGGTTTGAAAAAAATCAAAGGTGCGAATTCAATAAGACCACACAGCGTTTATTATAATAGTTCAACGTAGTCTTTTAGTCTAATTTATAGCGGCGTGTCCTCCATTTATCTCAACATTTTGGGTGAGACCACCCGAGTTGAGGTCAACAGATCCACTGCGTAAAATACTAGTGCTAGTTCCTAGTGCAGCTAATCGAGTGCTCAAACTCGAAGTCGTTTTGAAAATTGTTTACGTTTAAGAAAAAAAAAATCATCCATTATAACACTTTAGCGACTCGCGAGCCGAGACCACGATGTTAAATCTTGGTTTTTTTTTTAATTTTTTACTTAAATATTTCATTGTTTAGTAAATCATCGGTACAATGAGTGCCATAAGACGATTTTATGTGTTTGCATATGTTTATGCGTACCGACAGCAGTTATGCAAAGTTATACAAAGTACGGTCAGATAATTGGGTTCGTAAACTAATCGTTAAGCTAATCGTTAAGCTTTCCGAACGAGATTCATCGACGTGCAAGACACGATTGAACGTTCGCTGTATCAGTTTATTAAATAATTAAAATACATGTACCGACAATGCAGTAAAAATATACAATTGGAAACAATAACTGTTTCATTTCTAGCCATTGTTTCGACCGGAACGGAACATTCAAAGGCGCAATTATCGTGAGGGCCGTTCCAGATAAAAAATAATGAATTTCAGAATTTCGTTTCAAACATTATAGTAGATAATATCTAATCATTGTCAGTATACGAAATAATTATTAAATTTGACAACTCTTGTTATTCAGTGTATTATGGCTTTCGATTGAATTAGGAGACCACAACCATGCCGAGAGAAAAAATCGACACCAACCTCTTATCTACCCGACGCGTTCCACGTGCCCGACTGAACCCACTGTATCTTGAGCCGCGGGTGAGAAGGGTGAAACGGTTTCAGTGGCACGAGGGAAAAGAATCAAAAACTATCTCGACTAAATGCGCGCACTACTGCAGTAGGTTCCTGTTCAGATAAGTGAAACGGCCGAGCGCCACGCATCGTAAGCTGAACGTACCGCTGGGCATCCATTCGAGGAAAGAGTAGGACTTCTCCGCAGCGACTTTCAGGTCATAACTTTAACTTGCAAGCCGCGAAGTAATCTTTTTGCGACACACACACACATACGTGGACGTTCCTTGCTTTTACGCAGTACTGTTTCACTTTTCACTCGCGATAACCGATGGCAGCGTCGGAAGAACAACGTTCATCATCACTAAGCCGCGGATTTTTATGAAATTACACATTTTTATCGAAAGTGAATTTCTCAATTCCGATTAAGAATAAGCACGTTTCATATTTCATCGATATTCACATATTTAGTAGATATTTCCCATTATCATACCATTTCAGGCGCGGATCTAGCCTACTTTAACGGGGGGGGGGATTATAAATAAGTATACATATTTAGATACCTACTGCTAAATACGAGTATATTATATTATATTATATATATATATATATATATATATAGTTATAAATGCAATAGTACATAATGCAATTCCTGATTATTTATAAATTTATAATGAATACTTTTTTTTGGACGGTAAAGACGACTCACTTGAATCCACTGCAATTCGATTTTTATTTTCCTCAGTTGTTCGATCATCATTTTCCACAGTACTTGCACTAGTTGCACTTTTTTTTTAAAAAAAATGTGTAATATCGACATTTTTCCGGCATTTTCGACATTATGTTTTTGTTCAATAAACGAATAAAATGAAATAATTACAGTATAACAACTTACAACTATAATAAAAACGTCACCAATTAAATTAAAAGAATAAATCGTGGTCACTTTTAACGGCGTATTACGAGAAATATAATTTCGATTACTAAGGAAATTATACGTAATACAAGTACGCGAATATATCTACGGGTGTCAAACTAAAGACTAAAGAGTGTCTAATCTAATGTCAACAGTCAACACAACAATTATTACTATTATAGGTACTGCTAGAAATAAACTGATATCTGTATTATAAATATGTATATTTCAGGCAGTCAGGAATAAGGAAGATTTTAATATCTGTAAACAAAATAAACATGGAATCTCATACTATTTTTAGAACAAAATTCTATGAGTCGGTTGGGCTGGCCGGCTGGTGGTTGTCGTCGCTCATACGGTCGCAATAATATTGTTGTTATCGACACTTCATATATTTATGTTATAAAAATAAAAGACGAAAATTTGTGACAATAACAATTAACAATACATTAGAATGGTATAACACAAAATAATGTAATTTAATAGTATAACAAATTAGATACAACACATTTTGATACGGCTGACAGGGGGGAGCTGCCCCTACCACCCCCCTGGATCCACGCCTGTACTATTTCAATTCAGTTTTTATTTAGTTTAAAATTATTATATTGGAATTAAATTAAAAAAGTTATTTCAATTCCTAATTCAGATACTATAATCGCTATTACTTCTGATATTATGTAAAAAAATAAATTGCAAAATAATTTAGCATATACTTCCACAATTTTTTGTTTCTTGGTTAAAATAATAAAAAAATAGAAACATTAAATCTAACAATAATTGAGTATCGCGAAAGTGGAAATGAAATGAAATGAAGTTCAAGGAAAATCCGAAGTTATAATAATAATAAATTAAACTACGTACTCGGTAATACGTTAGATTAATAATCTTATTAATAAAAATGAAAATATTTCAAATTATATTGAAGTAACATCATCCAACATGTAGTATGAAATATGCCCCATTAACTTCGGTCGACGTCGAATACACCTTCAGCCGCTACGAGTTGACTTTAAAATCTAACCGTCGTATATTAAAATCTTTAAATGTATGTTGTATCCAATTGTTTCGAAGAAGACAACAACAAAAACGATTAAACGAATAATTATCGATTAATAATTAAAAATTAATGTAAAATACCGATTTTTTGTTAAATATTTCACGTTTTTTAATACATATTTTAACAAAAAAAAAAGAATATGAATATTTACATATTTTGACTTTTCTATTGTACAAAAATCCGCGCCCTAACCATCACAAATCCATCCCGTTACCGTTCGGTTAGTAATAACGTTCTTCTCGTGCAGACATGCGGCAGTGCTCATTGCGAGCGTCGGGGGAGGAACAGACGACAGGGTAATAATGATCCGTAGCAAGTCACGAAAAATAGTATTGTTACTTTATTGTTGGAAAACGGTTAACAGGTAGCGGCGGTGGCGGAGGAAGACTACGAGCGGTTCGGATGGACGAGTACGACGCGTGCGCCGGCTGCGGCTGAAGAGCAGCGGAAACTCGTCGTCGCGATCGCGGTCGTCGTCAGCAGCGGCTACGGCTGTCCGGCGTGCGCGCGGACAACGAACGTGCGAGTAATGACGTGGTCGTCGCGTTTCCCGTCACCAGTCAAGGCAGCGACGACGACGACGACGACGACGACGACGAAAAATCCGTTGCTGTTGCTGCTGCTGCTTCTGTTGCTGTTCGGAGCGCTGTTGGACGTCGTCTCCACCGCGGTGTCCATCACCCGGCACCATCGCGGCGACGTTTTCGACGTATCAGGTAAACGACTGCAAAACATCAAAGAAATCCGTCATTAAAACCTATCGAAATAGAATTACGATCCGTAACAGGTAAAATAATGTGACGCAATTTCGAACAAATCCTCTGAAACTTCGGCGACCTAGCACTGTTTCCCCGTACATAATACAAGTGTCGTATAAGTCACGGCCACTTTTCGAATCGTACAAATATACTTTTTATTTATTACAGAAACGAAAATATGCCTAGGTTATTGCCTAAGTACTTTATCGGAGTTGTGCGTATAAAAAAATCTTCTAATACATTTTCGCGAAATTCAGACTTCATAATCCGGCAACTGAGTATTTCCCATCACTATTAAAACAAATCGTAATAATATTGGCGAGTTTTCTATTCGTTCCCTACCATAAGTGTTTTACTGGAAAACACGATTTATCATATTGTACGATTATCAGTAATTTGTAAAATATTACAGCACTTTACCCATTACACGGTGATGGTGGTAACATTTGGTGTAGAAAATGTGTGGTACTGAAGATCCAAAACTATGTTCGAATCATTTTCGCGCGCACAAACAGCTTTGGAATTACTCGAATAACATGTTATTTGGACAAGTTTTCATTTGAATAATGGCCCAGCGGCTCTGACAGCGATATTCGTAGTGCCGAAGGCCAATGTTTGCACAGTTTCAGATTATTTTATATGACGTGTTTATAGTTGCATGCGCGAGAGGCAAAAACAAACGATCGAATGAAAAAAAAAACGTACATAATCAATAATATATACATCCGTCTGTAGTCGGTCATGAACCGAGTTATTCGGTTCATTGGCGGCGCAGATGAAGAATAATCAAGTTGTTGCCGTTGAATGAAATCGTAATGACCAACAGATATAATAATTGGTAATTCAGAAATACGGTAATACTAACGCGTGCATACGAGTGCCAACGATCAACGGCAACTGCTTGTTGTGTGGTGTACAATCGTAAAATGATACTTATCGAGGTGTGTCGCGCATGCGGCACAAGAACTGTATGTGTAAACACTGTTAATTATTATTATAAAACACGATAATCGATTGAGAAAACCCCACAGGCATACACACGACGTACCAATAAAATCAATTTAAATTTGTAAGTAAAATTCGTTTACGTTTTCGTCTCATACATTAAAATGTTTAATTTTTTATTTTTTTTGCTATGAAATTATTAAAACATATAAAAACTACATAATATTTCCAACATACACTCGTTTCCGAAAAAAAAACCCGAAGACATCGATCCGTCAAAAATATCAGTTTGATTACAGACGATTTTATTTTTATTTGGTATTGGGTCTTTTTGCGCTCGGTAGTTGCACAAGATTTATACTGTCGTTAAAAATGAGTGGTAAGGACACAACTATGTGACTTGGCACTGAGTTTAGTTCAGTCAACACGTACGAACGTTCAGTAATTTAATATTTATAAATTACTCTTAAAATTTAACTCGATATTTTGACGGGACCAAAATCAATAAGAACAAAATATAATATTGGTGGTTATACATAAATTAATTAATTTATATGTCATATATCAATCATCGTTTCCATAATCACTATAATCTGTACATTTATACTTATATTTATACATTAGGCATAATGTTTTTCGATTCTTTGGTACTGCTTTTTTCATCAACCCCTGTGACGCATAGTTTAAACACTCCGATTTAACTGATTATTTAAATAATCCAAAATGTTAACAAATAAATAACACTAATTAGCTTATAATGTTATCGAAAATGACTTCTAAACTTCAAATATCCTTGTGTATGTATTAATGTACTCGTATACTTAGTTTTTTAGTCTATTTCGTTATTAAATCATTAAACAGTGTTATTGAAGTCAAAATTGCACTAAACACAATAGACAAACAAGGAAAAAAGATAGAAGACAATATTATAAATTACCCGATATCCCGCTATATAAAAAAAAAAATCAATGATAATTGCAACATTGACCGAGACTGATAATTCTTTAAGAACATTTACAAATATTATGTTATTTGAATATGTACAAAAATCTGTCATTGGGTGTTTTGACTGGACCACATATTATTGAGTACATGAATAACACGCCGAACAACTTGCAGCCAGATTAATAATAAAATATTTCACAAACATCTTATCCATTCAAGTAGGCAGCAAAATATGTTAAAAACTAATCATTTAAATAGGATATAGTGTACTAGTGCAATAATTCAAAATTTATAAAAATACAATTTGCATGATTCGGATATACATTACATATTAACAATCTAGAATCATATTTATTCAGATTTCTCATTTGATAAATAGTTTTCTGCGGATTACTATAAAACATACTGTTTTCTTTTCTTTCTTTGATAACTAACATATATTTATTTCATGAGCATAATAATATCAATAAGAAGTGAAGCATAATAAGCCTAATTATTATAAATATAAAACTGTAGTTGACTGTAGCATGCGATCAAATTGTAACAACAGATTAATGGTACAGATCGCAAGAGATTAATCTCAACAAGCTACAGCATTAATTTCATGTCTATATAACACACACTTAAACACCAACATTAACATCATTAATTGAACGGTAACGGCATAAACTATGATACAAGTTGAATGAAAATCAAAAATCGACTGGTATATAAATCGCTTTTGAAACGAGTGTGTTATACATAGTGATTTTATTGAAATAAACAATAAAAAACGTTATACCTGCTCCTATAAAATACAAATCCGTTTAATTGGAATAAATGTATATTGCTGTTTCATTATTATTATTTTTTATTTAATAGCATGAATAATAATTGTACGTTTATAAAATATTACAAGGATAAAAACAAGAACATTCTTCGCACTTGGTTGCGAGCAATGTGAATTGACAGAGAAGTTGATCATGAGATGCATGAGTTCTTGAGGTGCACTGTTATCATAATAATTATGGAAGAAATTATCATCATTATAATCTAAAAATTATTCCAACCGGAGCAGTTTAAATTTCTATTCCCTATTTTTTTTTTTTTTTTTATATATATAATAATCATTAAATATATTTTACCATCAAGAAACTTTAAGTACCAGACCGATTATACGTCCTGCAGTTTTCAACCGATTAACACGTTACTGCACATGGTTATATTACGTATATAGGATTAAAGCGCTTTTACGACCCAAAAGAGAGTATATCGTTGAGTAAAAAAAAATAAAGAGATAAATAACTATAAAACCAGTATCGAGATACTAGGAATACGAAATAAATAAAACGTTCGGAAATGTGTCCTTTTCGTTATGACTTATACGACGTATTTTACATGATGCGTTTGACTCCAACTTATTTCACATACATCTTTGCGCTCTTATTCGTAAAAATAATTTGTACGTCGTCTACAGACTTAAATGTGACAGCGTACGACCACGTTACAAGAATCAAAAAATGCACGTAACGTTTGAATGTTTGCACAAATCACCGTGCCTACATACTACATACATGATAACATTAGCGGTACCGTAGCGAAGAGGAGTTAATAAATAGTTAAAGTGTATCCCCTGCTGCGTGAGTGCATCTTTCTAGTTTTTACCGGTTCAGTTTATTATCGAATTTATTTTGGTATCGACAATGTTTTTTGTCATAATTTCCGTTAGCTGCACGATTATGTACCTACCACATAAAACTTGACTTTTAGTGTATTTACTTATAAATTAACTGTTACAAAACCCACCTTTTGTCAAGTAAAAACCATGTACATCACTTAGACGTATGTTAATTTCATTTCCAGCAACGAAAACAAGAGACGGTTGCGAAAAAATTAGTTAAAAATATTCACAGTCCAATATTGATATACATCCGAATAAATCCAAGTAGTTTTCATTTTTACTGATAGTTTTTTTTTTCTACATTCACGTTGCACTACGTCTTCCGAAAGTGTCTACGCTCTATTATGTACAGACAATTCAATGTCTTATTGTTAATGTTTGTTCAACAGATGTGAAATGTTCAATGGAAACTTGCATCGGTGTGAGCAGCGGTACGGCGTCACAAGTCGACGGCATCAATGGCGGTGGCAGTGGCGGAGTCATGGGCTTGAGCATGGATGACTCTCTGTCGATCGGGAGCAAAGGAAAACCATTTTTCGGAGGTATGGCAGTCAATAGCGGCTGCCGATGCCAGTGCATACAACCCATGCCCGTGTTCAGGGATGATTTGCAAATATGCGTCGATGACCTGCAAGGTGAGTGCATCGTTGAGATTTTCCACCGACTTATCCACCTAACATAGTATATTAAAGTGCACGTCACAACGATAATCGTAATAAGAATTAGTAATAATAATACAGTCACGATTATCAACTAAAATAACGAATCGGAAATTGGTGGTGACAGTATAATGTATTTGTTATCATGTGTACATCGGTCCAGATTGTATAAAAAATTAGTGTAAAAAATATTTGAAATCATTTTTTTTTCACAACGTATATAAACTACGAACATTTATAGTTTAATCTTAAATTAAAAAACTTTTGAGACATTTTAGGAATTTCAACACGAACCAATATATTCAACAAAATACTTTTAACCCCAAAACTGGGCCAGTGTCAATTCTGCTCCATGAATAAAAGCAGCCTTAATGGTATCTAAAAAAAAATTTGATGCGATTTTTGAAAGCGATGCGTTTTTAACAAGTCGAAAAAAACGAAACCAATCGTCGTTAACTGATTAAGATAATACGAACTATATGAAATCGAGAAGATGCTACGCGTTTGGTGGAGTGCAGTAATACGTTAATCTAACGTGGCGATGGTACGATGTACCGTAGTGAAATTCTAAAAAACTTTACGAAACAGTAATGTTAAAACATTTTATAATAGAAATATCGAATATATGATGCATAGTCCAACCCATAAAAAATGAATCCTATCAAGGTTTTCTCACACTTACGCGTTTTCGGTACTTTTTTACAATTCTGCAGCGGTACGTGAATGGAAATGAGTTAATTGCAATTACATACAAATCACTACACATTATTTTATTATAATTTAAATGAACATTTTAATCAAACGCTACTATTGAACATATTGAACGTGTTACATTTATTATACAGGTCGACACAAAACTGGTAAGTACCATAATATAATATATATATTATTTGCTGTCAATAGAAGAAATATTTTAAATATGCGTGCACGCAAATGGATTGAACACTTAAATGTGAAACAGATACCCATGACATACTGAATTATTGACGCGCTGCATTGAGTTTCGTATTTTCGATACTATTGGATGTATACGTAAATTAATATATTATAAATACGATAATGATTACGCGATCGTTATTTGCATACTTTTCAAATACCTATTAATTAACGATATCGCGTAACCGGTCGTCGAAAAATATTTTAGCAGCCAATGTTTATCGCGAGCCGACATAAACGGTCGATACTCGTAAAATACGAGTAACACGAGAACTTAAATAAATACGAACATATTATCATATATTGACTGAGTCGACCATAGCAATAACAACAACAAAAAAGGAAGATTTATTGAATATCGAAGTCAAATATATTCGATGGATACAAAAAAATATACACCTACATTATAATATTATGTACACATCCAAACGACGACAGTGGTGCGTAAATAAACCGTGAAAAATTTGATCGATTGTAAAGAAATCCGTTGAGAAACAATGTACCTCTTTATACGTACAGTATATAAGTACATGGAATATATATAATTAGATACTTATATTATTTAAAAATATAACAATATTAACCTAGTAACACGGATACGATGAATCTAATGTGGTGGTCCAATTGTTACTGATTTATAATCATATAGTCGTTTGAAAATAAGAAGTGCTTTATGCGTTTGAACCGTGGTTAATTTTTTGAAATAATTACTGTAACCAGAAAATTTTTCTCACGACATTTTAATCAAGCACAATATTAATACATAAAACACAAAAATAAATTAAATTACGTTTATATCATTTAATCTGTATATATTATATAAAATATAATAGGATATGCTATGTTTACTTAGAGCGGATTTTTTATATTTTCACTTCAAATGTTCCGGCACTCAACAATTCAATGCTAGTTTGTACAACTTTTCTTTTGGCGGTTTAACTCAAAACTCTAGTCTTACAATTTAAGATTCAATAAAAATTTGAAAACACATAATTTACGATTACAATTTAAATCTATATCATTTTTAAATATATCAAAAATACTACACTTAAATAAGTAAATATACATTAAAGATATCGTGCATGATTGTGAAACGGATATATTCAATTTTTTTTTTCTATTTTTTATAATGAATTATAAGTATTTATATTTTGAATACATTAAAAGAAGCCGAAATATTTTATCCTTGAATATTTATTGTAGTTTATTTATATCTTATCATACTAGCCAATACTTTACCCGGAAGCAGATCTAAGAAGGTTCAGGAGGTCAGCTGACCCATGGATGCACAATATTATTTGTTGATAAAATTACGCTTTTGAAGACTTTATATTTTCTTATTGTGCCAACTATAAGTTGGAGTTGATACTAGATTGGGGCAATAGCTCTAGTTGTCCCCCCCCCCCCAAATGATGCCACTGATTTAACTATGTAGTACAGTAAAACATCTCTGTGCTGGACCCAATGTAAGACGGAAACCTTCATAAAATAAATGTTAATGTTTTCAATGATAATTATGATTAAATTTAAAAATGCATATTATATGATCATATCGGGTTTTTTTGTTGCAAGATAAACATTTATAATCCAGTTTTATCCCTAATAAGTGGCTTCTTGAAATAACCTCACCTCCAGTTCTCTAACTGTGGATCCGCCCTTAGGTGATACACATTTAATATAAATAAACCAAAACCATAACTAAATCAGTTGACACTATTGACCCATAATGCGATTGTATTACAACTATATGGTATTTAAATCAAATTCGTCATGCGTTCCTAACAACTGCTAGTCCTCATTTGGAATTTTTTAAGAATCTATTTTGAAAATGTTATCACACAGTATTGATTCAAGAATTTATTTTTATTTATGAGTAATTAGCCTATGGTATATTTTATAAGACAATTTTCAAAACCAGATTTAATTAAAATTCAAATAAATTTTTTTTCTTTTTCTTTTGTTAAGTGTCAAAAAATGTTACGATACAGCACAAGTGTATAATAATTGATTAAACGCGTATTTAATTGCATTTTTTTTTATGCCTCATTTGGAAAACATGTTCCATTTAAAGATTATTTTAGAATAGTAATAAAAATAAAATAAATTATAATGGTTGGTGTCACACAAACTGTGTGAAAATTTTATCTTCGGCTAATGCATATTAAAGATAGAACTACACAATCAAACATTTAATACAGATGCAAAATATTATATGGATACCAACATGTATTTACGTTTTCTTTAATAATAAAGCTATTATTCTTGTTTTCTGAACAACCTCAATGCAATCATTTATGAAAGAATTTTTATAAACGACGCAATTTATACAAATTTATTATATTAATAATCGGTCGGACGGTCTGCAGAAAGCCGCCGATTGTAAACGGTTAACTGTAGAATTGTAGAAAATAAATTTAATTTAGGTCGTAAAAATAATACATTTAAACATTGCTAGTAATAATCTTGCCTATTTTATTGGCTTGTTTATTATTATTATATGGAGGCTGATGACCTGTTAATCAGAATTTTATTTTTATTTTACCCGAACTAACTAGAAAATAATTTATACACACACATTCATGGAAAAAAAAATCTACCATAACTATTCCATTAAAATCTAAAAGAGTCAAATTCGATAAGTATATGAAATTAAAATGTCTGCATTTTAAAATTACAAAAAAAATAACTGTAATAAGATAAATATTAAATACATATAATTATTAGAGACTGAAATTTTGGAAATTAAATCAATTAATCATACCTAATATAAAATAAATTAAATATTATTAGATGGCAATCGGTGGATTTCACGAAATAACGTTTAAAAGCTCATTAAAAATGCTATAGAGTATAAAGGTCATTATTTAAAATTTATAATAAACATATTGTTGTTCACAGAATGTTCATTGGCTTCATTTGTGTCTGGAACCACGGTACAAAGAATACCTTACGTGTTTCTACCCCTGCAAGGACAAATAGTGTATCCTAGTGCCGAAATTAAAATTGCTGGTATGTATTTCAACTTGAATACTCGAAAATCAATCAAATTATTATAATTTATACTAGTTTTAAACACCAGAAAACTAGGATGAACAAATTAATTATTTAAACAGTTTAACGTTACATGGTCCCAATTAATAATATTTTTTTAAAATACATTTTTTTTTCTTAAAATCAACAACAGCGAGGTTCTATGGGAATCAAACCCGTGCACAGGAATCGTCCAAGGGAGGATTCAACTGACAGTAGATGGAAAGGTTAAAAATATTGAAAAGAAAAGTGCGTCAGATCAAGAAAATTGACATTGTTAGAATATAAATATATGTAAAAAGATCCTCAATGAGAGGGGTTAGAACCTCCATACACCTTTCCACGCACGGACTTGTGGGAATATTATTTCCCATTAAAATACTTCTGCAAAAAACATAATACGATTTAAAGATATTAAAATAATTTTCTATACTCTTAATTTTCATTATAATTTTAAAAATTTTATTCTAATCTATAAATAACCTACTTGTTAATTTCAGGAACCTCAATTTTTTTAATACAAGAACTATTTTTTTTTCAAACAAAAGATATTGTTTTGCAGGTATGCAGTATCCTATTTGTGCTATTTCAAAAGCAAAATATTTAACCCGAAGTGGTTGGGTTAATTTTAAAAATCAATCAGATTTCGAAATTCCTTTCCAAATACACCGAGAAAATGGACACATAATGTTACTAGTAATTTATTTAATTTTCAATAAATATTTTTAATTCACTTGAATTAATTTTATAACTTTCAAATATAGTTTCAAATTTAAACTATTTTTTTTTTAGTGGTTAGGAGATTTGCAATCAAGGGCCAACATAGAAGGTCGTTTAGTGTTGATCGAAATGATTTGCAAAGAGACATTACCCCAAGATTATGACAACAATTTTCATCAAGCCATAACACCTTGTCTTTCATTTAGAATAGCAGGAACTCCAAGTAATAAAAATATTACAATTGTATATTAAAATATATATATTTAACATTTAACTAAATGTTATAATATATTGTAGGTGTAAAAGAAGTACTGTTTTCGGCTGATATTCGAACTTTGGATAATGCTCCTGGTTCTGGACTAACCATTAGTGAACTAATAGCTGTAGCGATTTGTTCTATTTTGTTAGGACTTATGTATGTAGCATCGATTTTGTTATACTTGCATGTTCGAAAAGGTCGACCTAAAGGACGTAATGGGGATACAGAAGCGTTTAAAAATCCATTGATGTCAAACAGTATTACTGAAGAAGGTATTGTGAAAAACAATCCACTTTTGCAACACAGTTACAATGATAATGAAGCATATGAATCGGATGAAGACAGAAACTATAGTAGAAGTCCACAAGGAGAACCAACAATGGATATGATTGAGAATAATAATAATAATATTGTAAGTAAAATATATGAAAGAAACAAATAAATAAACATAATAAAATTAATAAAAAAAAAATGTACGTTTGGTATTTATTACAGCGAAATTTAACTACTGCTATTGTACATCCCATTCAGTCGTACAATTCATGTATTAGTCATTCGATGTATTATTCGGATTCAAATTCAATAGAAAAACATCCAGAAGAGGACATTTCAATAGTAGAAACATTGGATAGCAAAGAAGATCGACCAGATAACATAAGATCAATAGTGTGTGCCAATCCAAGAAAAAAACTTTACTTTAATCCGGACTACTTTGAACTTGAATTATTGATGGTAAAAAAAATACACCATTCAAATTAATTAAATAAGTAGTAAAAATTTACACAGTTAATTACAATAATACTGATTAATTTTCAGGCTCCTCCACCAGCAGCATTAGAATTTTTAGAAAAAATTCGCGAAGTAATACAAGAAGCAAAAAGAAAAATAACAATGAAAAAATTTTCACCAAATCTCAATATAATACTAGAAGAAGTTAACGAAGATACAGATGAACCACTGAATTCTTGCGATAAATGCAAAACTCATTTAAAAAAAAAATCAGCTACGATACAAAAATGGTTGTTGGATGTGCCAACAGAAGTTACCAAGCCTAAGAAAAAACAAGCTCCTTGCACTCCAGTTGAATTAGGATCACTAGAAAAAGTCAATAATATCTTAAGTAATGATAGAGAATCGATACAAAAAATGAATGAAAAAAAATTGAATACTGATATTGAAAATAAAGAAGAAAACAAAGAAGAAAAAAAAGAAAAAATAGAAGAAGTAGACGAAGATGACGGAGAAGAAAGTACAAATATAGAGTGTGATAGTCTAGAAAGATCAATGAATTATAGGCAGAAAAGTGGATATCATACACCATCTGAATATGGGGATGTTAGACCAGATTTAAGTCCAGTGTTAAGCAATTCTGCGTTACCGATGGAAGAAGAACTTACAGTTCAAACAACATACACATATGATACTATCACGAAAAAAGAAAATTATTATGAACATATATCTGGTCCAGATTGCGTGCGAGAAAAACCAAAGAAGGAAATCCTACCTGACATTTTGAATAGATCTTCTGAACGTTACAATTTAGTGAGCGAAGTTTATGTAAACGATAATTTCAATACAAGTATGTCGCCTAATAACTCGCTAGATAAAAAGATTAAAAAGAAGAGTCCTGGTCAGATAACCATCGAAGTTGAAGACTGTCCAGACAATTATCCAATAGAGGAGGATTCAGATAGTTTCGAGCCAGATACATTAGATAGAAATTGTACAAAAATCAAACCAAAATTGAAAACTGTATATTCTTCAGATTCACTAGAACAATCAAGCAGTCCCAAAACAATTAGCAATGGATTTGGTAGCTTATTAGAAATTTATGAGGCCAAGAATGTTATGGCTGATGTTCAAAAAAGATGGAATATGAACCAAACAGAGGCCAAATACTTGAAACCTGATCCAAAACACTGCCGTAGGCAAAGATGCCCATCACCCTTATCAGAACCAAAGCCTTCAAAAAACGCATGTGTCAGAAGCACTAGCAACTACGGAGTCAAGCAAATAGATTGTATCCGTTCACCACATAACCGGCAAACCAACGAGATCATGGCTGGTGCTTCTGACAAACAAGCAGTCAAAAGTTTGCCGACTGATCAAACAAAGTATGAGGACTCCGGATATCTTAGTACTGAATCTAATGAATCTTACTGCAAAGTAGTGGCTAATAGTTTAGACACTGATGAATCTGGAGCAGAAAGTATAGATACAGATTTTAAATTTTTTAAAACGCGTACAGATCATAACTTCTACGATTGGTAATGATTATTTATTATCCAAAGATATTTTTCAATTTGCCTATTAATTTTTAATGTAAAGTATATAAATATAAGCACCAAAAATTAGATTTACTTGTAAATGATAAAGTCCAAAATAATGCATAGTCAATTGCAGACTTTTTTTTCACGATTTAGATCATTCCAATTTTAATGAATCTTTTTATCAAAATTTTAATTTTTGAAAATTATATTAAATTTATTTATGTTAATTACAAATACATTTTTTTTACTATATAACACTTTAAATAATTAGATTATGATTATATTTTATTAAAAGGTAATTTATTGAGATAGTAATTTCAAGAAATTTACAAAAAAAATTTAAACTTGATATTAAAGCTCTTAAACCAATAACTTATATATTACTAATAAATTTAATAAATAAGAAATTTTTAAGATAATAATTTAGAAGCAAAAATAAATGTTAAAAAATATACAATGGATGAACTATAAAAAAATATCTTTTTTCGGTAATTTAAAAAAATCATTAAACCGTTTTAGTAAACTAATTTTCAAAAATCAAAAAAAAAAAAAAAATAGAACAATTTAGATTAAAAATTTTTAAAATTAATAAAATTATAATTTATAACTTTCTAAATTATATTTATTTATGAAATAATTAAATACTTGCTTAAAAAAAATTGTATACTTCAAAAATGATTAACATAATAGGTATACAAAATAAAACTACTGTATATACATTTAGTATAGATCTTTAAATACCTTTTGTAAGTTAAAAAAAAATGTGGAAATATTTTTTCATATAAGGCTGGATTGAGTGCAATTATATTTATAATATATTTTATAAGCTTCATTATATAGATGTAGTCTTACAAATTATTTATAAATATCAGTTTATATTCAGATATTATGAAATATACATATTTGAATTATTGTAGATTTTATTGTAGGCAAAGATTTTTTTGAAGAATTATATGAATTTCAAAAGTTCAAAACATAACTAATAAAAAGTTTAATTAAAAATGATAAGACTATTAAAATGAAGTAACTATTTTTATAATTTTCTTTTAATCAGTTTTAAAAATATATCGATTACTAATCCAAAATAAAATGATGTGATACATTACACATATTATTTCTAATATTAAAAATGAAGTCCTTAAATCATAATAAATTATGAAAGTTAAACAAATGTGTATAAATATATAAACAAAATATATTATTCAATCATTTAACAGAATACATTAGTTATAACCATAATTATTATGAATGAACTAAATTAAATACAAATAATATATACTTTTAAACGTCCCTCTATAGTTTCATATAAAAAAAAATTACATGAAAGGCTTATCTTACATAAATTATAGGTTATAAATTGTTAAAGAATGATACTTAAGTTAATAAGTAAATAAACTTGATCATTAAATGCAATACATTCATCTTATCTATGCAAATCTAATAAATAAGGCAGTTTATGTACATATTTATATATGTAAATTGTGTTGATTAATTTAATATATTTTATAATTGGTAAGGAAAATGACTGACTTATACTTTTAAGTTCGTATTTATAAATAATTAATTTAGACTAAAAACTAATTTATAATTTTTATCTTCATAAAAAAAAAAATAATGTAAAAGATAAAATATATAATTTTAACTTCCAACAATCATTTTTGTATAATAATTCAAACAATTATTATAAGATAACAATGTTACTAAAAAAAAACTGCAGAACACAATTTTTTATTTTATCTCGTTTAAAATAAACCGTATAAAGTATGTATAGTGTATACATTATTATAAAAATTGTTTTATTTCCTTGCAACTTTCAGATTATATAGAAATAATATACATTTACAAAATCCACTTATGTTCTTAATATGTTTTTATAATCATTTACTCAACAAATTAATATTAATTCATAAGAAAATATACTGTTCATTAGAAAATTGATAAATTATTTAATACATCTACATATATATTTACATAAAAGAAACTAAATATTTTCAGTAAATTGGACTACATAACAAGGTTATGTCAATTGGTATATATTATATTCATCAGTGATAGGCTCCAAAACCACAAACATTATTTTTAAAAACTATACAACATTCAGTAATATCATAAAATAACATGAAAGTATTATGTTGTATGTTCATAGTTAACTAATAAGTAAAAAGTCTCATGTAAAAACATTTTACAATATATTTGTATATTTATATTTATTTAATTTATACATAAACGTGATAAGCCAGGGCTATAATGCATGTGTAGTATTTAAATTATACATTTTATTGGTATTTTTAATTATTGTTAAGTTTTTAATTTTTATCACTTATACAGTTTTATTTAAATTTTGATATTGTAAATAAATTGAATTTGATCTTTTTATCTATATAATATAGCTGATGAATTGAATACAGCAAAAACTACACTGAACTGCAATGTATAACATATATAGTACCTATACTACTATCATTATTACTAAAATATTTAATATATTACAATTTATAATATATTAATATAATAAATGTAGTATAATATTAATACTATTGAAATTATGAAGTAGTTATTTCATTAAATTTAATATTAATATTGATAATAAAAAAAAATCAATTGTTGTTAATTATTTACATATTAAACATTATCAAAACAATAAACTATAATAATGAGTATCGTAAATAGGACTTATCATATTTCAATAGAATAAGTATTTTATAATTAAATATGCTTACTAATTTAGACCGAGTACTATTCCATTGTTTCCTTGGTATCATTATTTGTCCATCCAAATACTCCATAAATACTTTCCGAAGTTCCCTTAAATCTTGCAAAATAGCATCAAAATTTAAATATGTTGGTATTTTTTTATTCAAACAATTTATAATAGCATGATCAGGTAACATCGTAGAAAGCACTTGAATAAATGTCTTTGTGTACACCATAGAGCTACAGATAAATTAATATCTAATTAAATACATTATATAAAATAATATAAGTAGTGGTAAACACACTCAGAAAATACTTCAAGTATATACTCCACTGGTGATACTGGATTCAAATGGCATACAATAGTTCTTAACCATGACAAAGAGCTGTGCACAAACCATTCATGTTTTGTACTAAACTTAAAGTTGTTTATCATTACACTTTTTAAATCTTGATAACATACAGTACATTTAATTTGATAACGAGATAATAGTTTAGAACAATGTAAGACCACTAAATCTTCAACTATATAAATATATATATATATAAAAAAAAAAAACATTTTTAAAATAAAAAAAATATTTAATGCAACTATAGTACAGCCAGAAAAAAGTGAATCGCGATCTTCAAATGGCTACGGGCAGTTATTCATCAAGTTTACTCCAATTATTTCCCCCCATAAAATATTTTCAAACAGTGATTAACAACAATTTTATTGTATAAATTTCATTTTAATAAAAATGATAAATAAAACATCAAATGCTTACAGAATGTCGACTATATTGAACTCTACATAAAATATGCATCAACTGTAATTTGTCCACTAAACATAAAACCCCTGAGTATGAAAAAAATGGCATGTAGGCATGTAGCAATTATCGCTCACATTTTGCTGGCTATATTAACTTTTCATAAATTCTATAAATTTTATTTAAATTTATAATGTTGAAACAATTATTAATCTTAAAGTATGTGATTTAAAATAGTTATTAAATAATTTCTCAAAGTAAAGTATTTTTTTAATTAAATGTATATACAGTGTGATCACGATAAGTGGAAATACTCAATAACTTAATGTAGGTTTCATATATTTCAATTCTGCTTTTTTGGCTTACTAATAAACATTATTATACACATGTTCAGATAATTAGACTATTTTTGCCACAATTAATTTCGAGCATTCACACAAAAACTTTTTTTTTTTTAATGACATGACCTATTTTTAACCATAAATTATTTTTTATATGAATTTTAGTGGTTGAATTTCTTTTCTAAGTTAAAAATTGGTAGAGTTATAGCAACTTGATATTATGTTGTTTGCAGGTTAAATATATAATAACAGATTATAAAATACATAATTAATAATAATATATACGTAATAAAAATAAAAATAACTACCTAATCCAATTTATGAAATACCTGTTTACCTATTTTGTTTATTTTTATCAAAATTATCTCAGTAATTGTATTACAATTAATATCATATTTGCATAAGTACTAGTTATAAATTAAATTAATGAATTTTTCACAGTTGATATTGTTCTGCAGTAAGTGTCACTAGTGGCAGTAACTAATAAGAAATAAAATTGATATTTTGTAGTTTTTAAACAGATTTAATACTTATCTATTAATTATTATCAGGGCTTAAAACGCTTCCTAATAAAGTTGGTAGTCAGCTCCGGTATGAGCCGAAAATTTTTTAAAATCGGTAACCGTTTATCGTTTAATTTTGATGTTATGGTAACCAGAAACCGTTTCTTTATAGCTGGATACGCACTACACCGTTCCGTATCGTGTCTTCTAAAATAATTATCTCTGATTGGCTGAACCATATTGTTACAACAAGGTCTATCGTATAATAATTCACAAGTTACCTCACTAACCATAAGATACCGTGAAATTGATTCTATCCAACTTTTGAGCGTGTGGTTACCGATTTAAATAGAAATAATTTAATATTCTATCACGATGTAGTGTGAACCCGGTTTAAGGGTTTCAAAAACTATAATAACCTATAATAACTATAATAACCGTTAAGCCGGGTTCACACTACACCGTGATGTGTATTTTACCAGCTCGTGTGCTTTGAAAATGTGTGATACCAATATATATCATATGGTGATGCTATCCAATTATGGTTACATATTTTCGCAGTTTTATTATTAGATATGAAATATTTTCATAAGTTTCAATAAATAATAACTCATGAATATTAAATTATATAGTAGAAATTATGTATTATATTATTATCAGGGCTCCAAACTTAATGTACTTAAAAAGTACTAAATATGCATGCACTTATGTGCTTAAAAGAGTTCAAATATGCTTTAAAATATGCACTTAATTTTTTTAACACAAAAATGTTCATAAATAAAGATATTTTATTAAATATACTCGTACATAACGGTACAAATATTGTTAGTATATTATACTAAGTTAAACATAATTTCTAGGTATAAATATATAAGATAAAATATAAAATAAATAGTTTCAAATTTTAAATTTTCTTTCAAAATGTTCCCATTAGGTTTTTCATAGTGTCATGAAAATAATTTCAAAGTTACTTAGCAATAAATTGAATAGCCCAATAAAATCATGCAAATGCAACATCTTCAGAGCCCTTTGTTATTATGAATACTATAATCATAGGGTATTAAATTATTACTATTAAAATCGGTAACCACACGCTCAAAAGTTGGATAAAATCAACTTCACGGTATCTTAAGGTTAGTGAGGTTACTTGTGAATTATTATGGGTATACCTTGATGTAAAAATATGGTTCAGCCAATCAGAGATAATTATTTTGGAAGACACGAAACAGCACGGTGTAGTGTGAACCTAGTTTTAATCGTTTAAAAGCCAATGATAAGGTTTTTTGGTAATTGGTTACCGGTTAAAACCGGTTTTTAAAAATCATATTTTTCATTTTTAATCATATTTTTAAAAGTTTATTTAGGCGATTCGTGGGTTGATAATATAACTTTTATTATTACAAAATCAAAAACTTAATATGCTTTAATTTGGTCGATTTCACTCAATTTCAATATTTATTTTTTCAAAATGCATTAAAGTTTAAAACATATTATGATGAATATAATGATAATGAAAAAACTAAATTGTATAAAAAAAATGTATTGTTATAATTTTCTTATTTATAACGGTAAAAAACTGAAATTAAATATAATAATTTTCTAAGATGACACTAAGATTGATAACATTGCCACAAAACTTTTTGGTTATATTGAATAAAATACAGTACCCCAAAACCAGGATGAGCAGATATTAAAACATCATAAATATTAAATAGACTAAGTCTCTATTCCACCAACTATTTCGTAATAGGAATCAGCGCGCCACGACGACGTTTATGACGGTATTTATAATGTATAGTTATACCTATATATATATATATATGATATTCACAACAAATAAGCAATACTCGATGGCCATTAATTGGGGAAAAATATTTAAAAATAACTAGAAAATTAAATTCAACTATTATTATGACATAATTCAAGTATTAATACCACGAAAAAACAGTTAATTATTTTGGTCAGGAATAGGTTTTAGTTATAAAAACCGGGATTAAAAATACGAGGTAATTACTTTGATGTTAATATTTAGATATTTACCTAGATTACCGTTAACCAATAACCGCTTCCGGCATTTCAAAACTAAAAGTGGTTATTGGTTTTCGATTCTCAAATTTAAGGTTTTATACCGTTTTTCGTTACAAACTGGTTACCGGTTTTAAGTCCTGGTTATTATAGATAATAATTCAGAAAAAGTTGACATGCAATTATATATTGGGATTGTCAAAAGAATACACGTCGTGCCCAAGAAACTTATGCTCTTCGTTATATGAGTAACTATTATTTTATTACAATTACTGAGATAATTTTGATAAAGATAAACAAAATAGGTAAACAGGTATTTCAGAAATTGGGATGAGGTAGTTATTTTTTATTTTTATTATTACGTATTTATTACTATTAATTATGTATTTTATAATCTGTTATACCCGTGAAAATAACATAAAATCAAGATGCTATAACTCGGTCAATTTTTAACTTAAAAAAAAATTCAATCAATAAAATTCATTAAAAAATACAGAAAAAAATAATTTGTGGTCAAAAATAGGTCATGTAATTTTAAAAAAAATAGTTTTTATACGTATGCGCGAAATTATTCATGGCAAAAATAGTCTTATTATCTGAAAATGTGTATAATGTTTATTAGTAAGTCAAAAAAGCGGAATTGAATTATATGAAGCCTGCACAAAGTTATTGAGTGTTTCCAATTATTGTGATCACACAGTACATATATTACAAATATAGTATAGTACCTATACTTCTTTTCAAAAGAGAACATACCGCTTGCGCGACTGGTTTTGGTTCGGCGGCGCGCATCCCCCACCAGTTGTTCAATGTTTCTACCTAAGCAACGCCGGTCAGATAACTATTAATTGTAAATAAGGTTATTGGAATTAGGCGTATACTCGTTGGCAAACTTTGATCGGCGACCGTCGTGCGCGATCGATGTCTCGTTTCAATGAAAGTGAGAGAAATTGGCCTCGGGACGGTTGACAGCCGTCAGTCTACATGCGCGAAAGCGGTATGTACTCTTTTGAAAAGAGATATATATTATACTCAATAATACATTTAAAAAGTAAATAAAAAAAAGTTCAAGTAATTTTTGCACTTACGATAAACACTATTTTTAACAAATGAATCAAATTCTTTATCCAAAAATAAGTTTGCAGTAACAATAATTTCATCTGTACTAATGTATTGTATTCCTAAAATAAAAAATGAGTAAAAAAAGATTATATTCTAAAATATACATGAAAATCAATTTTTTTTTATTCTACTTAGCGAAAATCATAAGTTTAAATTTAACAACTAGTATAATTTATTACCAGGGATATGAATTTAATGCATTTGTATATTTTTTTCGCTATTTTGCACAAGGAAATAGATTCGGCCAAAATTTGAGTAATAATATTTATGAACTAAAAACAAAATCTTATTTTGAATACTTTTGTATATTTAGAAAATATAGCATATAAATGTATATTTTTACGAATTCTTTATTTTCATGATTTTTTTATATTTTGGTCAAATTTATAATTTTATCTACCAATCTGACATGGAATTAATAAATAGTTTTTATAATGATTTTTTATTTCAATAAAAATATAGGTAATTAATTTATGCATACATATTTATACATAAAGAATTATTATTTAATTTTTCAGTGCATTGTGACTATATTAAAATATATTTAGTATAAACATATAGTAATATTAATGAGCATAAATTATTACCTAATATAATTATTATTGTTCTGATATCTACAAATCCATAGTCCATATTTATTTATATAAATTCATATTTTACAATTTAGAAATATAAAATAGGTCTCCCTATAATAACAATTTAGTCACGGGGTTTTTCATTATACGTAATTAAGAATTTTTTTTTTTTTGTAAATCATTTTTAAATATTAATTTCAATACTTCTTTTTTTATTAAAAACATTATTTTGGAATTTTTACTGTACAGTTTTGCATATTTTTCAATTTTTCAATTCATATTTTAAGGGGACTGGATGATCAATTTTTGGTCAAAAATACAGCTTACGACTTCAATCACTACTCTAAGTAAGATGTTCCAATATCAATTTTTAAAATAGATTTGGATTATTCATCTAATTATCTATGCTTCAATAGTCTTTTTTTATTTATTTTATTTTTTAAATTAAGAAAATTAATTCTATTTATTATATTTTTCCTATTTTTAGTGTATAAATGCATGGATATTTAACGCTTTTTAAGTGCAATAAATTCACAGGCTTGCTTATTACTTACTATCAAAATTGTCATGACTGATATACACTATACTATTTATAGAATATGGAAGTGATTTACTGCTCCAATTATCAATCACACCTAAATAATAAATTATTAAAAAAATATATTAATTGGGTTATTCACAAACTAATTATAATTTTACAAACACAATTATTACTTGCAACTATGATTGAACTATTAGCATTTATCTTGAAAATACTTTTTTCGATGTTAGATGACATGCTATTATTATCATCACAACTATGAAAATTAAAAACATTTTTGGTTTTCTCAACTGTCCAACATTTTACACAAAATTCTGACCAAATTTTTTTATTGTTCTCTATAAGTATTGTATTAAAATTTGATATCAACCTATTATAACATAAATTAATTATTTAAACACAGTATTTTAAGTAAAAACTAAAGAAATTACAATTTAATTTTACAATTTTGAAGTATTTTGAAGAGTAAATCCATATACAAGATTTTTATTGGATAATTTTAACCAAGAATTCTTTGCAATTATATTTGAAGACAATTTAAAATCAGAAGTATCATCATTGCTGGATACTTGTGTCATGGCATTTATGAAACATTTGGATTTTTGTGATAGTTTAAACTGTTCTGTATCATATAATATTTTTAATTGCTATAAAATACAAAATCAATATTTATACTTTAAAACAAATCATTTTTGTTAAGATTTTTTTTCTAAACATTCTAATAAAAATAAAATAAAAAATTCTAGAATTAACCGTTATTTCTATCATTTAATTATTATTAATTTATAATTTTAAGTTTAAAATAATTTAGATAATTCTATAAAAATATATTTCATGCACTATAATTTAAGCCAATTATAAAATTATATTATTTAATAAAACTTGCAATATTGTATTTTACTTGTAATTTTTTTAGACAAAAAGTGTATACAACTGATGTTTCTTGAAATTGATTAAATTTAGAAGTACTTTGATCCTTATTTTCAATAATATCTGAGCATTCAAAACCTTTGTCAGTTCTCATATAAAGTTGAGGTGATCCTGAATTACTATGATCACTAATAACTATTTCATATACATTAACATATGTTTTTATAATCTAAAAAACATAAAATTAAATTAAAGTTAGATTATTAAAGTGTTTTTATAGTTTAAAATTGATATAAGCAAATTTAAATTCCTCAAAATTATTGTATTATACAGACCTCAAGACTAGTTCCTTCTTTAACTATGATAACTTTTTCGTCTCCGTGTAAAACATAATAAACTTCAATATTTTGCTCATATTCGACAAAGGGTTCTAAATGTTTGACTTCGACATCAACGTTACACTTTTTCATCAAACAACCTTTATAAAAAGTCAACAGCTTCTTATCAATTGTACAGATCACTGTGTCACAATCGTTGCCTGAAAAGAATTTGAAAATAAAAACAAACAGAAAACCAATACAAAATATTGATTATTCACGGTTAACTGAACGCTATTGGAATACAATCTTACTCATTCCTTTGATGGCAATGGTCGCAATGCTTCTGTAAGATTCAGGAATTTTCAATAACAAACTCATTGCGAATGAACCAATTTTACTATAGATGAATGTTGATATACGATACCGGAGCACAACACGTTACATCGGTTGACGTCCAAGCACTTTTTTATTACTACCTACTTAAATGTCATTGGATTATTAAATTTTGTTATTATTTTCATATAGTCTGAGGTCCAAGTGGCTTTTCGTTCATGGACACTATAGTATAACGCACCAGTACGAACTTTGCCAGTTAACTTCGTACGTGATAAGAACGTAGTATTCCGGACGAGCGTGGTGTGCGTAGCAACGAAATCACTCACGTTGGGAGAACACAACGTTCTGTGATAGCATAATTCCACTGATAAGCGTAATCTTTAAAAAATAACTTCGTGTGGCGGTTACACTATGTTGGGATTAAAGACTTCTAACGACTAACAAATGCAACCACAACTTTGAAAGAGAAGAGGTTTATTTTATTAAATCAAACAAATAAAGAATAATAAGAGCACGAATAACACGAGTACGAAAAACAGGAGTATGACCGTTGACAAAAACGCGACCAAAAAAAAAGAGAAAAAAATTTGTTTTATTTTTGATAAGAGGTATGACGCGCGGTACAACATAACCAGTCGTGGAACAAACCGCGACTGGTCATGGTGTAACCGCGGTCAGCAGTATCTGTGGGACGAACGTCGCCACATTCATAACGTTTTCGGAATTATCGATTTAGAAATTCCGTATTTTTATTTCGTAAATGTAAACACGATAGATAAAAATGGTGTAAAATAAGACGTAATTAAAGATTATTCATGGAAAGTGGATGATAAGCTGTTGGAGAACAGAAATCAGAGTTGGGCAAAAACAAATCAAAATAATGAATAAAAAATAAAAGCCTGAATAACTAATTTATTTATGAATAAAGAATAATTTTTTATTCTGAATAAAGAATAAAATTATTCTGAATAGTTTTATTCGTTAATAAAACAATTATTCAGAATAAATTTGTTCGTTAAAATCATGAATGATATTAAATATAATAAGTATAATTTATTTATTTTTGTCAATTATTATGCATATTAATATGTATTACCTTTATATATATAATTTAAGTCTAAATAATAAGTATATTATCACTATACATCGTTATTTTGGATTTAAATTTCTTATTTATATGATTATAGGGAATAACGAATAACTAAATAATGAATAAAATATAGTAAATAAAAATCTCCAAATAATGAATAACGAATAATAATACAAATTAAAATAATGAATACAAATAAAAATCAATAATAAAATTAAGAATAATTCATTGAAGAATAATTTTTTATTCAAATAATCAATCGAATAATATTTTATTCGACCAATGCCCAATTCTGCCAGAAATTTACCTACTCAATGAGAAACATGTGGAGTCGGTGTAGGCAACGCCGGCGTTACCTTTTGCGAGGCCCAGGGCAAATCTTATTTTACCCACAGCAATAGCCACCTATAACCCTGTAGGCCGCAATTAAATGCGATATAATTAATAATAAAAAAATAATAAATACACCAAAACTTATTTTATAATGGTAATTAATTCTGTTTAAAATGTTTACTCCAAATTTTTTTGTATGGGAGCAAAATACTCGTACAAATATAATTTTATATGTGACCTGCAAATTCGTAATGTAGTTCCAAAGTGGCCCGCAAAATAATTTGGGTTGGCCATCCCTGCTCTATGGTATCCGCCGTCGGGTTTCCGACATATAATTCGACCCATAGATAAGAATATTTGATCTTCCTATAGTGGTTTTTTTTTGTACCACAAAAAATAACATTTTTTTTGAATAACACGTATTTTATTTTAATTTAAATTATAAGGATAATGATTTTTTATGCCAGTAAACAAAAATGTCGGGGGGGGGTCCAGACCCCATGGACCCCTCTGGATACATGTCCGTAAATAATTACAAAAGTGATAATTTTAGCATGATTGTCATTCGCCACGAGCTCAATATAATGAGAACAACTTACATGAATGCAGAAGACAACAAATAATTCTAAATTCTTATTTTTTAGTGTAAATTAAAATGTATAATAAAAAATACCTGTGAATATATAATAAATAAAATTAATTATATATTTTAATTTTATTGAAATATTACAATTAAAATTACTGGATAACAAAATAAGTATTACAAATCGAAAACAATTAATATAAAAACTAAATATGTAATACAAATGTATAATAAATATTTAATACACAAACTAATACTAATGTATAAAAAATGAATTTTTTGAATTGTAAGCAATTCCGAAAATATATTTTGCCTTTTTGACATATTTACATAATAATCATCAACACCATTATGTATATATTTATATTTATTTGTACAAATGATACACAACAATAAGAAGTTAGAAACATTGTAAGTGTAACTTTTTTTTTTTATTATTCGTGCATTGGTTATTTAAAAAAAATATTATAATTATCATTGAATCAAGTGATTTGTCGGTTATTGAGGCAATAGTTGGATCAATAACTTTTTATTTCTTATTTTAACTATTAGGAGTTAAGTATTGGTCCCCTACTGATCGATTTTCCGTATCATTTTTCATAAAATAAATATTTCACAGTGACTCAATATATTGATTTCAAATATATAAGAACAATATGAGCATACATTTTTCAATGTAAAATCCAAGTAACGATAAAAACGATGTTCCATGAAAATATACCCATTGCTATAAATAAATAAGATAGATAGGTGGGATATGTAGATGATCAAATTCAATTTTTTTTATATAATTAACGAGGATCAAACTTTTTTAAATATTGATGCTTATTGATGAATAATCGCATAAACGTTTTAATAACAAATTTAATTATATGTGTACAAACAAATAAATGATAAACAACACATCATGCAAAGCACATAATTACTGTTATAATTATAAGGTTTTGAAATCAACCTTTATATTGATTTTAAGCCATTATGAACGCGTACTTTTTGTTTTAGTTCTATCTTTGGTTGACATTTTTGTAATTTGAAATGTATTCAATCCACGGTCTCGATCCTTTAGAACGTATACTTTCTTCCATTAACATTCCTTTTAGGATATTGAGCTTCATCATAACATCGAAATTCTTTTTGAGGGCGTTGTGAACTAATTCCAAATGATCCGACACTTTGCTATACGCTGTGTCCAATATCGCCAATTCTGTGACGAGATATTGTGATGAATCTTCGTTGCTCTCAAATTTTGTATCATATAATCTACTGTTCACGATCGGTAAGTTCGTAGTCTTCTAAATAATCAAATTTTACAGTTTATGTACAATTTTCAAAATTAATTAAAAAAAAATTCCAAGTAAAAATAGTAAAAAATCTGACTTTCGGTCGTTTCTATAGTTAAATATATTAAATATCTATAATTGTTTAGCTAATGTAAATAAATAATATGAGCATTAATGATCTGATTCCGATTCTGATATATGGCTTAAAATATTGCTTAATGTAGATACTGGATTTGGTAGGGCCACAGTTATTAAAACTTTATATAAATTACATAATCTTATAAAATATTTTTTCGTGAAAGGGATAATCACAATTTGAGATAAATTTAAACGCTCTTCTCAGGTTCTTTATTGAATTAAATCGTTGAACAATGTGTTCCAAATTCAACAATTGTAAAATTTCTCAAAGAAAACATACCAGAATTACGTGAAACTTTCAATTCAAACAATACTTGTGGTCAAAATCGTAAAAGGATTAAGAAAAATCACCGAGTTGACGAAGAACTTGAGTAAATGGTTTTTATTAAAAATATAAATTTCTGGGCCGAAAATTTAACACAGAAAATGGATAATGAGCTAGTGTGTTACCACAGATGGTTAGTGAAATAGTTGAAATAATAGACACGATGTTAAATTTAAATGAGTGCATGGTGAACAATAATTGTTATTATTATTATTATTTAGTAAGTAACATTTTATGTATTTTACTTAATAGAATATTTAAATTTTACGGTATGCATGTTACACAATACACACTTTTGAAATAGGAAATGTGTGTGTTTATTTAAATTCGTTTTTATAGACAATCCTTAATGTTGGCAAATTAAACTAGTCCCATTGACATTAAACGAAATCCACTGTATTTCTACCTCTTAATACATTTCATCCTTGATTTCCGTCGAACAGATTCAAATTTAATTACTAAACATTTTTAAATCAAATTAGCTACTTTATAGGAAATATTTACTGCCACATCATAAGTCATTTTTACAGAAGCCATTGAATAATTGCATGGAAAAATTGTAAGCTATAATTATCATTTATATTCATAAAATACTTGTCAGAACGCATTTATTCAATTATCTCAGTGGCATATTTAAGGGTGGGTTATGGGGACTATCAATTAATATGTTTGTGTAGGTATTTACTATATATTTACAAGAATAAAATTACAAAAATTACAAGCAACTTAGAACTTATGATTTAGCAAGATTAACTGTTGATTGTTATTTTAAATAAATATTTTGTGTCTAAGATCTAAATATTTTTTTAGAAATTTTTAAAATGATATTAAGTAAATTTAAATAAAAATTACTACCTATATTAATTGTAATAAATATGTTTTAACTTCCACAGCACATTAATGATTTTTTAGGGAAGGGGTTAAAGAAATAATCCCTTTCTTGAATGGACTTTTTAATTCGCCCCTCCCTAAATATTTAAGTCAGATGCACCGCTGATATAAATGATTTGGCTATAGTTAATATTTAATATTGACATTTATTTCAAATGAAACAATACCTTATTTTTATTGTAAAAAAAAATAATAATTTTCGTTGACTTTAAAAAAAAAATCGATATCAACTAATAATGTTGTATTAAATTAATAATTGTTCTGGTCACTCACTGCAACAGGTACCGGTGTTTTAGACTGACGAAACGTTTCCTGCAATGTTTCTATTAACTCTTTCACGTTGATATCCTCCTTTAGATTTCTAAAAGGTGGCTGATTAACCGTAGTCGGCTTAAAATTCAAAGCATATCCGGTGGCAGAAGTGCTATAGATGTTTGAATAACCAAATACTGGCACTGCACTTATGTCCGCGAGAAAAAACGCGAGCAATTATCAATACTACGTACATCACTAAAGCGGAACACTTAACGGTCCCTGGACTTCCAGGAAAACTATACACACAAGTAGTATTGCTGTGTAAAAGTGGAACAAAGAAAATAATTTCTTTTTAAAACCAAAATATTACAATGATAACTCACGATTTTCCCATATTAATTTTCTCCGAGACCACAAAAAATCAGAAAAACAAAAATCAAAGTCACTTTGAAATCATTATAATACGTAAATTTACAGTCAAAATAACAACAAAATCAAACAAATGGTGTTGACGTTGCGTCGTTACATTTAATGGAAGTATTAATTGTATTGTTTGTTTATATAATAATTAGAGTTCGGAACTTATTGTAAACAAATTATAGGAAATAATATTTCCAATAATATTTAATAATATTTCCATAATATGCATGCACATATGCACTTAAAATAACCAAAATATACACAAAAATATGCAACTAAATGTTCTTATTATAGAATTTATTTTTTTTATGTTATTTTTTTTTATTTGATTTATTAAATTTTAAATGTAAACAATTTTTTTTTACTAGTTCATTTTTGACATCAATAACAATAAACTTTAAACTATAATGTTACTCTGTTTGATCGATTTCATTTTGTTTAGTCTTCTTCACCTACGATGAAATAAGATTTAGTATTAAAAAAAATGTAAAAAAAAAATTGCAGTTTACCAGCAAAATTGGACTGTAAAATTAGATATTTTCTGATATAATCAAGTTTAAATGTATGACTATTATTGATCAGCATATTTTTATAAATTGGCGTTAAATTCCTGGCAGTAAAAATTTTGATTCCGAACAGTTGGTGTATCATTATAAGATGCTTTCTTATCATTTTTATCTTTTATCAATGAGGAGAACTGACCCAAGCATAAACATATAATATTATATGTCTATTATATGTCTATGGACCCAAGCCCCTGTAAACCAGCCCCCTCAACACCCAACGTGATAAAAGTAATAATGCTTCTGTCTGGTCGGTCTTTTAACCGTTCCTCATAACGGTCACACTGCGGATTACAGATGGTTGTCACGCGTTATCAGCGTCTCTGTTATCTCGATCTCACAGCGCTCGGTCGAGCCAATGGCACTACTGTGAACACGGTGTGGTTGATAATCCGATCGTTTGAGCTATTCCATCCCCAGCAACTCCGATCGTCGTTAAATCGATATTTTTGCGTGCGAATATCGTTCCATCGCCCCAGTCCGGTACGCGTTTTGTCGCGCCGTCCGTATCGCTATGACGTCCTCGATGAACCGTCTGGTCCCGCTGCTGACATTGGCCGCCATCACTTTGGGTAAGTGACGATTCTCTTGTACGGACACGCCCTAATTGGACGACGAGTACTTAGACGGAGCACTCCCGACCCACATTTCTTGCCTTGCCCTATTTCTCGTTAATGTCTTACCATAGTATGTGTACATGTTTTCAGCCGGAGTCCAGGGCCATAATATGTTTGTCCTCAACTCTCCGGAATCAGTCGAAATCAGTCAGACCGTACCTTTACGTGCCACCGAGTTGGCTGATATCACCTCGTTGGTGTTAGGTTTTACTGTACCACAAGGAGTAAGTTGAATATAATGTTTATTTTACCTAAGACTGCTAAAACGTACCTAAATAATCATGTCGAGTCAATAATAATATGATTTATATAAGCATAGCCTGTGAAGTTTTAACCGTGACAACTTGTTTTCACTCAAAAGTACTTACTTGAATGTTTAACCTGTATCATATGCCTATATTCTCAATAGTTCAAACATAAATAAGTCATAGTAATTATTACTTCAATCAATATTGATACTTTGATAAATTAAAAATGTCATACAGTTTGTTTATTTTTTATGTTTCCCTTAAATTTCAACTTTCAAGAACCATTATGTTAACATAATTCACCTTCAACATAAATAAATTATTATTAAAATGTAATTACATTATTTAAACATTGTATTAATTTAATAATATTGATGAATCATCATGTTAATGATATTATCAATGAATTGCATTTTTATGAGTTAAATATTAATAGCTTATTGTAATTGGATAAAATCAAAATTATCAGTATCTTCTTTTATTGCCCTAGTATGCCAATGATTGTAGTATATAAAATAAAACTTAATGTAATTATATAAATAGATCCAATAAAATTTATTTTATTTATGGAAGTTACTTATTCAAAACTTACTCATATATTTATTTCCTATATTTCTATGCATTATATTAGTTTTGAAATATTTTTATCTCATAAATTGTTTTGTTATATACTAAAACTCTGTATTTTTATGCTACTAATTTAAATATATTATATGATAATTAGTTTTAAAATGTATTATTAGGTGGAGGCATGGAAAAAATTACTGATTAATACTCCATTTTCATTGCCTGAAGCTGTAGTTGTTCTTGAAATTCCTGGATTGAAGAATCCAAGTTTTGGATTGAACAAAATTAATCATCATAATTTAATTTTGGATGAATCATTAGAAGATGTATATGCCATTGTAAAACAAAGAATATTGCTCAGATTTAATGATAAAGAATCTAGCTTTATTCATGGATCTCTAAGCAATGAAGAATTTGTAAGATAAAATATTTAAATTACATATTACTTATTTCTTTCCTGTGTATAACATATATTTATAGCTTAAGGATCAAGTATTTCATCCAGAATTAAGTTCCAGTATTTTACCTGAAAATATGGAATTGTACAGTGAAAAGAATAAAATATTTTTTAATGAAATTTACCAATTAAATCAACTGGCCAATGGCGTAAGTAGAATTTATAGAAGTAAATCAATTCAAGACTTAAATTATTACTTATATACAAACCATTTTAGATCAAAGAATCAAAATTAAAAAACAATGTTCCTGATTATCATTGGTTTCAATTGCAAGGCATAAAATCATTGAATGCTGCCAATGAACCAAATTCAAAAGAAATAATAAATGGTGAAAAAGCTTTGAATCAAGCTATTTCAATGTTGATCCAATCTTACAAGGAACAATATAAAAACGAGGTATTTAAATAATAAACTAGTAGTTTTTAACTGGTGTAGCACAAACTAGATTTATTACTATTATTATTTCTATTAAATGACAAATAAATTTGTGATTGAAACATTAAAATTATTTTTATAGTTTTGTTTAAATATATTACACTTTTAATTAAAGACATATGTTTATGAAAATTGCTGTTCAATAAAACATATTTAAAATATAAGGTGTTTTTACATTACTACTAATAACCACTATAATAGGTAATTATTACTATTTCTAATTTTTCAATAAATTATTATTTAGGTGTTCATCATTGCTATAACAAATGATGCAAAACAATCGCATAGAAATAAACGTCAAGTTAACAGTGTAGAACAGGTAAAAAATAGTTTAAAATAAAACTGTGTTTGTTATTCACATAAATTATTTTAGAACCTTAATGTTGCTGAACCATTATCAAGTGATTATCCAGTTATATTCAATCTTCTATTGTGGTTTACTGTAATATTCGTCTTTTCACTTTTAGCCATATCATGTAAGTATTTTATGATAATTTTTGTTCAGAAAGTAGTAAAATTTTATTAGTTTTACTTTCAGCAATATTAAAAGTTAAAATGATAACAAAAGTTGTACTGTTATTCTGTACTCAACTACTTATTTTATACTCAAAATGTGTTAAAACCATAGAAATTGGTATAAAAGTTATAGCTTAGTCTTATTTTTTGTCTATAATGCAACAAGTTAATAATTTTGTTCATATTATATTGTAGTGAAGTATTAAAATATTGTAAAATATTTATGTAATCAAGAATTTCAAATAAAAACTGAATTAAATATTAAAATTTATTAAATACATATATTTTCATTGTATATAAATTAAAGATTTAGATGTAATAATTAAAAAAAAAAATTAATTCTAATTAGCATTTGACATTTAGTGGTATGATATGCTATTTTTATTTTTTATTCTGTTTTATTTGGGTAAACTTAAGAATTGTGAATATATTATTTCCTAGTTTTTTTTTTTTTAATTAAAAGTTATTGTTTAAAATACATTTAGAAACTGGGAATCTGGTACTTTTGAGATTGTTTTCCGAGTGGGATTCTATAGAACGAGCTTTTCTAAGTTATTTTCTATATTATTATTTCCTTAAATATAAAATATTTATATAATATAAAAATATACATTACATTTTATTTTTAAATAGTTTTTCTGTTCTATTAAAATTTATATTAGATACTCATACTAGTATTTTGTGTTTAGTGAGTATTGCTCAAATGGACCCGGGTCGTGACTCCATCATCTACCGTATGACTAGCAATCGTATGAAGAAAGAAAACTAAATGTTCACTGTTCAATAAGTAAGACTTGATGGACTAATCAAACTCAAAGACAGTTTTGAATGCATAAAAGAAAAAAAAACAAAAAGTAAAATTAAATTTGCATTAGATTCCATTCCAATTTGTACATAATGTGTTCATGTTGGGCACAAATATTGTTGATTTATAACTATTATTATACGATATGGTTTTTGTTTTATACATAATTTAGTGTTTTAGTAATTCTTCATTTTATTATTGTAATTTACAAAGTTATGATTTTGTTTGAAATTATCAATATTGAATTAAAATCTTAAAAATTTAAACATAATTTTTTATATTTTGAGACTGTTTTTGATATTGAGTTCACACTTTGACAACACTATTAAAACAAATTAGTGTTTGTTTTTAAAAAAATTAAGATTCTTCTTCCCTTGCTAGAAAATCAAATTTCAAATTGTATATTTTCACGCCCAGCACTAAGATGTATTGATTCACATCATTAATAATTTATACTCTGTAACAGGTAAAGTATTAATTGAATACAACAGTAGGTCATTGAAAATTGAAAGTATGTGTATCATCATTAGTTTTAAGTACTAATTGTACAACTAAATATTATTACATACATTTATACCTGTAACTATATTCAGGAATTTGTATGCATAATTTAATAATAATAAATATAATTTATAAGATCTCATTGAATCAGAAATTCATGGATTTCATAATAATAAGAATTTTTCGGAGATTGAATTCCATATATTTTAGACTTTATCAATGACAATTATTAATTATTGTGCTGTTAATATTTGAATATTATTATGATGGAAAATGTTTTTTTTTTTTTTTTTATATAAATCGTAGACATTTAAAGAATGATTGTAGGTGCACTAAGTTTCAGTTTAATTGTTATTTCAAAAGATTTATATTTCCATTATCCTTTTTAAACATTTTAATCGAGGCTTTAACTTTTTATGTATCAAAAACTGTCTAATAAATTTGCATTTATCAGTTAACGGCTGGAAATAACAAATTTGCTCTAAAAATTAGAATTGAAACATCAGTTCATAAATCGATAACAAAACCGATATTGTAACTGAAATTGTAGATTGAGCAGTTTTTTTGATCTAAAACTTTTGAGTATTTGAGCAAAACTTCTAAAGATGTTAATATAAAATATACCATCTACAAATTTATATTATATAGGTACTTGTGAAATTTATGAATTATGGTGTGATTCCGAGTACCATGAAAATTTATCTTGTTAGTATAGATAAAAATAATATTTAAATTGCAATAATAATAATAAATAATAATCACGTAATATTGTTATAATATTTTAATGAATGCACAATTAAGATTTAATTTAGATGTTTATATAAACCCAATATCTATTTAACACACAGCAGTTTTGATTAGCCAGTAAATATTTTCTTTATTTAAACACCATTCATTAGGAATGTGTACTCATAGTTATGATTGTTGGTATTAAGATATTAAATTAAATTCATACAAACCAGATATTTAAAAATATCAAAATATATTAGGCAACACTAAAAAACATAATAAAATTTAAAAATAAACTTTACGAATTTAAGTTTTAGTTTTTAAACATGAGCATATAAAATTTAAATAATTTTATATTTATTTTAGAGATAAAATCATTGTAGTTTGAAATACTTTAAAAAAAAAAACAGGAATTTGGCACATTCACAAGTTGTACTTTTCTAATTAATGTTCTACAAATAAAATCATTATGCACAGAAGTTTTAATGTAATTTTATATGTATTTTTTAAATCGTGTTGATTGTAAACATAACAAATACAATTTGATACCGGTATAATATGCCATTATCAATATATATGGAATTATCATTTAATGAAAAAAAAAAAATGTTAGTTAAATATTATAAAAAAATGAAATTAATAAATTATAAATCAACAACAAGATACATAATGTAAGCGGAACACGCACAAGTTGTAAAAACAACTAGTTGACGGAAAAACCAACAAAGAAGCGATTTAGTTGTATATATGTGACCGTAAATGCCCGATCACTAGGTAAACCTAGGTTTTACTGGATAATGCTAGGTTTTACTGTTTGTACTCAGTAAATCCTGAAATTCTAAATTTTATTAGGGCTTTTACTAAACACATCCTAGAATATACAAATTGACTTAGTAAAAGCTGATCAATACACGACACATAACATTTAAGCTGCGTAAAAATTATAATTATATATTATTAAAACAAACTACCGACAGATATTTAAATTCTTTATACAAAATAAAAATAATTTAAAAACAGAATCATTATTTATTCCTCATAAAAATTAAGTAAAATTCAGTAAAATTGATGGGTAGTTAGAAATAATTATTTAAAATTTTTATTTATTTGCACATGTTGTACTATTATGACACCTTCTATTACATAATACATTTGATTGGCGGCAATTGCATTTTTTAGTTGTACATTTTTTCTGGCAATCACACCTCAAAAATCCTTGCCCACCTGATAGTGAAAGTTGAGCAACAGCTTGGCGTATGCTTGTTGTATTTGGAACATCGGATATTGAAATAAATTTTTCTTCGCATAAAGTAAATTGATTTCTAGTGAATAATTGATTCAATGTCCCAGCTTTAGATCCTAATTGATAAAATTCTTCGTCAATAATTTCAACAATTACAGCCAATAATGTGCGAGAATCGATTTCACATCGGTCGAAATCTGGAATTTTCACTCGCACTGTTTGACCAATTAATGCAGCAGGAAAATTTTTATTAGTTATTGTTTTCATTTTTTTTGCTTGTTTTTCCAGAAATTGTAGTGACTCTTCTTGTTGTCGTTTAATTTTAGTAGAACGTTCGAGTAATATTTTTTCATTTACTTTTTCATTTTTATCTTTCTTCGATAAAATTGTTTTTCATCGTTGTCTATTTTTGTTTTTATATCTACCCCTTTATTTTTGTAGATCTCAATATCGATTTTTTTCCCTTGGTTATGATCAATGTCTATGTCCTCATTGATTTTTTCAGTAGTATTCGTCTCCTCATTCTCATTATAAATTGTAATTTTAGAGTCTTCAAGGACAGATATAAGGTCATCTTCATTAATGAATTCTGTTATCACATTTTTCGGTATGCTCGAAGTAGCAAGTCCCATTTTCATTGTACACCCAAACATTGCCTCATAGGGTGATCGTTTTATACCTAATTCCAAAAATAGTTATAATTTATAGCTATCATATTATATTATACTTTATTTTAAAATTTATATTACAATTGTAGGATTATTTTAATACAAATAATAATTATTCAATGTTATATTATACATGGGTGTACCACGAAAATCTGTGTTTGTTCGGTTGTATATTTTTAAGTTTATTTTTGTTTTTATAATAATTACTAAGTACTACTTTACCTAAAAATGTATGATATGATTAAATTGATAAAAATATCTTTTAAATATACAACAGAAAAAAATTTAATAATAATTATAACTAACCTGAATGAAATGCTGAATTTTTCATTGCTTGAACAAATCGTAAAAATTCAGACCATTTTGCATTGTCATTAGTTTCCATCCAAGTTGCTATTATACTTTCGATGTCTTGATTAGCTCGTTCAACCGATTCTTGAGATTGGCTGTGACAAGCTTTGCCATGAACTATTTTAACTTGAGGTCACATTTCACATATACTGGTAACAATTTTATTTACAAATTCTCGCCCGTTATCAGAGTGTAGTATACTAGGAGCTCCAAAGAGAGTGAATATGTCTAGAAGTTGATATGCAATTTCTTCTGCACGTTTACACTGTAAAGGTCGTATAATCACAAATTTTGTCAGGTGATCTTGATACACCATAATGTATTTAAAACCAATATCTGGGTTTGATTGGATATCAATTAAATCAATTTGATATTGAGGAGAATTCATTTCATTGTGCAATATCGGTTTAACAACGAGTTCTTTTTTTGGTATACTATTCTTTTTCTGGCATGTTTCACACATTTTCAAGTACACATTTATAGCTTCCACATTAATATTTTTTAATTTTTTTTTTAGCATATGATTTATCCGATCCCTACCACCATGTCCTGTTTCAATATGAGCTGCGTGTATAATATCAAAAAGTTCGTCATTACATACGTAGTATCGAATATCTTCATATCCACTTTCCACTGGAAAAATAAGTTTGTCTTTATTCCCAATACAAAGAACATCAAAACGTTTTAATCTCCGATAGTGAATTGATTTTTTGTTAGCGATTGTTTTTACGTTCTTCACTTCTTGTAAATACGTATTGTACATTTCACGTGTTAAATAAAAAGTATTACTAGAATCTTTTTTTTTAATTATTGGATTTAAAACGTCATAAAACCTTTCTATATTAGCCATATTTAAGTCAAATTAACAATGAAAATAAATATAATTAAAAATTACATTAATTAAACACAATTCAATATAAATATTACGCGCACAAGGCATAACACATATTACACTGTTCTACAAAATTTTACGCAGCTTAAATGTTATGTGTCGTGTATTGAGCAGCTTTTACTAAGTCAATTTGTATATCCTAAGATGTACACAACGTGTTTAGTAAAAGCCCTAATAAAATTTAGAATTTCAGCATTTACTGAGTACAAACAGTAAAACCTAGCATTAACTAGTAAAACCAAGGTTTACCTAGTGATCGGTAATTTACTGTAACATATATAAGGGATCCGGATAAATGCAGACGTATCCAGTTATCCAGTATAGAAACTCTACCTGTCATGACCATCGTTGTTTTACTATTAAATCGTTTTTGTTGATTTATTTAAAATTTTAACCATCAAATTGTCTCCAGTATTCTTTATTCTATATTGAATACAATTTAAGACTTTAACACATTGTTGCGTTGTTACACACTGGCCACGTTACACCGATTTAATCTAGTTCTGGTGTATGATATTTTCTATTCCTTATAAACTACAGGCGACATCAAAATAAAAATCGTGAATAGTGATGAATACTTTAAACACTCGAACATGTGAACAAATATTGTTCACATACATTTAAAATATAAAAACATTTATAATTGCAGTGGCGCCCACGTAGGGTACCAAGTGGTGCAATTGCACTGGTATCGCGTGGAGCCTACGTACATTTGAGGGCCCCAATCTGGTTTCTGGAGCAAACACTTTAAATTCATAACTACCTATTCATCTGGATCTATAGATTGTTGAATAAAACGTAAAGATTTGAAAGTGCCAAATATACAAACAAATATAAATATATAATAATTAATATGGGTAGCTATAATAATGTTGATTGTGTTTGTAGTATGTGTCAGGGTTCAGGAAGCCACCCTAAGATGTATATGCTACATAGGCGGATATTTGGTTGTAATTTTGAGGGGGAGGGCTATAATAATTCAATGTAAAATAATCCGTAGGGCTTCGTCCCCACACCCCCTTCCCATGCACAAGTAAAACTTATTACTATTAAAAATTTAGATATGTTTAAATTTTATTAAAAAAACACTAAATAACGTATATTTAAAAATAATTAATATTTTATTTTAAAGACAAATATCTATTTGTATCAGCAGATATTAAAAATATTATCGCTTTTTATATTTTTCGATATTTTTTCATTGCACTAAAACTTCTTTCGCAAGTAGCCGAACTAATTGGTATTGTTAATGCTATTGTAAATAGATTTTTATTAAATGTCTGTAAATTATTAATATTACTTATTGTACTATTGTATAGATTTTAATTATTCAAATAAAGCCAAATTAAAAAAAAAAAAACTACGGTTTTTTAAACGCTTTTAAATACTTAATATGACATTTTTTTTGTGTATAATATGACATTTGAGTTATAACTTAGCATTTTTTTTTTATAGTTATCGTTATTGATATCGATCAAGCTAAAATTAAATTAGCATAGCAAAATGCCTAAGTCTACGGGGTCGGAGATAAAATCGATTTCCAAGTAGGCAATTGTTTTAGAATTTTAAGCTGGGTTCGGGCTGATACAGTGGTAACATCGCCTCCATGGGACGGACTTGGCTACTCGACACGGAAAATTTATGTAATTGAGAAGCGGGTGGGATGACAAACATTCTTAGGATAGCGACGATAGTTGCTCCTCAAGCAGTACTCCACATTTCAAAGACCTTTGATCGAAAACAATGTTTAGACTTTTCAAAAAACGAAAACTTCAGCCGGGTAGAGTTTGAGGGTGTATAAATCGACGGACTACCGAATTGCATTAACATATACCTGAAATTGCGACAAGTAAATAAAATGTTATTGATTAGATATATTATAATTTTTTTTAACAACATTATATTGAACTATGTTCAAAGTTTATATTATCATTTTGACACAGATTTCTTATTAAAATGTTGCAGGTTAAGGGTAAGGTTTCATTTTCAAAATATGTTATGTTCTTTTCAGTATTTGTATTTTTTGTTTAGTATATTTTTTGATATTGATTCATTTTTCTTCTTTTAGTTCAATTATTTCTAATTATTATTAACCAAGTAAATGTGTAGCTATATATACTATGTATATATACATAACTATATTTATCTTCCTAATAAAAAAAAAAAGAAATATAAATTTAAAACATATACCTACGATAGAAGTATAAACTGTCATACAGAACAAATAAACTAATTATTTACATTTTACTTTTGTTAATACTAAATTATATTTAATTTTCAATAAAACAAATTAATTTTTTTATGTGTAAATACCTACTGTACTAGTACTGTTATTTATTTTTTTTTAAATTTTTAATAAAAAAATGATTTAAATTTATATTTTCTATATAAATTAATTTTGGATACTTGAGTTATCCATGTATTTAAAAAAATGCTAGATTTAATTGGGTACTTTTCATAGTTTTAAATTTATAATTTGGTTAGTTATTATTTTATATATTTTTTTCATTTGTATAGCTTTTATCACCTAATTTAAAATCCTATAAAATAATATCATGTATACAGATTTTTTAAACCCTATCTATGTCATATACTCATAAATAGTCATATCATAATTTAATAAAATACAATTTTTTCATAATTTCACTTAAACACTGAAAAAATAACATAGTAAAATATACTTTTTTTTAGTTGATGTTGAAAGTAACAATTTTTTATAAATAAATAGATATATTATTTACTTGTTTAACAACATTAACCATTAAAATACACAATTTGTATTTTGTTTAAATTATTTCTATATTTTCATTTACAATCATTTTTTTTAATTTTTTTTTTTTTTTTAAGTATTTTTATTCTCACTTAACCAGACAAGTACGGGTATTTTGTTTTTTGAGCTTTTATTATTATGTTATTAAATATACAAGTATACAGGTATACGAGCTTTTTCCAATATATTAAGCATTTGTCTACAACAAGTGCTGCACTTTCATGAAAATTTAATTTTACAATTCGTAAATTATAAAAGACAACACTCAAACAATTTCGTTGAGATGGCAATTTACTACCAGTTATTTGGTAGTCCATTATTCTCACAAGAAAAACTAGATTTCGTGACATATTAAATTACAATTAATTACTTTTGATGATAACTTAAACTTTATATTAAACGACGAACGACATAGAATATACGATAGTGAATCGAATACGATTAGTTGGATTTTAATAGTGCGTTACGCATTAAAATATAAAGATGATATCACAAATGTTTCAATAAATATGTGTTCCATCGAAAAATATAAGATAAGATAGGTTCCCAAGATAATATTAAATTAAATTCTAATAATAATTTATTTCACAGTCGTTGACAAATTTTTTGGGAAAAAATCACATGAAATTCAAGTAACTATAGTCAAAACCTATATAAAAGATGTTTTTATGACATTTGTACCCAAAACTTTTTTTTTAGATTATTTAATTCTGTATAATTTTTATACAAAATATTTTATCATATACCCAACCGTACGTTATATATATTTAAAAAACCGAAAAAATCCAATTTCGAAAAATATATAGAATATTCTGATATTTTTTAATTTTTCTTCAAAAATAATGGACTTAGGAGAATTTGCATTGAATGATTTTTTATAGACATTAATAAAATATATAATTAAGCTCTTTGAATGTTCACGCTAAATCCTATACATTCTGAATTAATTTAAAAAAACAAGAAAACTACCCTCTTTTGCCATATTTCAACCCTAATGCGGCATCAGACGGGGTTGAGTGAGACCTTCCAAATTTTACCTATAATATGTACATATATGACTTAACAAATTAGAGGGGTACTGTATTTTAACTTTTTGAAGTAAAATATTCCACCTATATAAATCCTTATTTATAAGGACCACCCTAATGTGTATACTTATTTTAAAAACTACAATTGTATTGATTTAAATTATTATAATGTACAGCGAAATTTGAGATATTGTTTCATTTCGTTCGCAGAGTTATGAACAACAAAACAAACATCTAGTACAAAATATTAATAAGAAAATAATATTCCGATAATGTAGAATTCATAACTGTTTAAATATGTTGTCATGTAGCAGAGTGGCGCAGTGGAAGCGTGCTGGGCCCATAACCCAGAGGTCCGTGGATCGAAACCACGCTCTGCTAAACAATTTTTTTGCCTATTTTTGACTAAAAAGTTATAGTATACCAATTTATATTCAAATAAAATATTATGGAAACATTTTCTTTTTATGGGCTTGTTACAAAAGCTAAAATGTCTTAATATCAAAATATAGTAAAATATGAACAATTCTTATAGTATGTGAATAGGTGCAATAAGATTTTTAGCACCCTTGAGTTCAAATTTAGCACTCCTGTTTTTTTTTTCAGATCTGTATTATCTATAGTAATTACAGTTAAATTCGTTTTCATTTTATTTTCAGCAATTTCAGCATCGCCAATATTTGGGCTCTAGTTGCGCCCGTGAGTATGTTGCCAGTGGTGGCTAGTCAGGGAGGCAAAGGAGTGATCGCTAGTGTCATATTAATTAATCGTATACAAAATGTAATTTTAAATTATAATGGTAAAACACAAATCATTTACTATTAGAATATCCGAATTTGGATGAATTGAGCACAATTAACCAATAATATTTATTAATTAAAATGTAATAATAATAAGTCCAGTTGACCCACCCTCCCCGGTCCCCTCGACACCCAGTCCACCCCTGTATGTGGCCGTATTGCAAATCTTGATAAGTTTTGTTCCATTGTATTGAGGGCGTAAAAAAATGTGTAAACAGTACGTAAAGTTTCGTAAAAATATATTTGGTAAGGAATAACTACCGTTTGACGACCATCACAATGAACTCCTAATCGAATGTCAGTCGACAGATTTGAAATACAACAAATTGGCTTTTCCAAAGAAATCGTCGGACAAATTAAACTTAAGGTATGATTTATAGTGTATCTTTCTTTTTTTAGTTATATTTTAACTAAAATAAATAATGGAAATAATTATTCAGCTTGTGAATAAAAAATAAAAATTACAGCGAATAATTCAATTTGTGAATAAATTAATTAAATAAATAGTGAATAATATTCAATTTTCGCATAACACAATTATAATAATCATATAATATTCATAACAAAGCAAATAATTATAATAACAATAATTTATATAATATTAATCATAATCATGACAAAAATAATAATAGTTAATTCTATATTAAATAAAATTTCAGCATTTATAATATGGCTACATCAAGTTGTTAATTTAAGTTATGTTAGGTACGTTTTCCCTGCTGCGTTTAACGCAGCGCGTCGGTAAACGACGCAGTGCGTTCGGCCGCACTCCTAATTCGGACTAGTGCTGCGTTCAGACTTCCTGCATCTGCATAACATAAAAGCACTTTTTTAGACTAAATCAAAAAATTATATATAAATTATTCAGAATATTTGTTCCAAATATATAACTGATTATTTCCACTGATTTAATTAAAATGTAATTTATGTTGGTTAATATCAATTTAAGATATTTAAAAATTATCACATTGGTCATGAATAACAGAAAAACCAAAAACTTACGGCCACTATTAATTATTTATACTAAGTTTAATTTAATTTTTATACTTGTATTATTTATTATTGGTTATTTCCCCCCACCAAGACACAGCTAAATATAATTTTAATACAAATAACACTTACAGATATAGATTATAAATATAAAAACACTATATTAATTTTAATAAAACGTAGGAATGCATTAAATTGTATAAATAATATTAATCAGAAAACTGAAAACATGGTACATTAATCATTAGTACATGATATATAATATGATATTATTTTAGTTGGTATTTTTTATGTTTGCCACGGTACTGCTCTTTCGTTAGCAAAGTAATCCTTAAAAGTGTCTCTTACTACAAGTCCTTCTGAACTCAAAAAATCTTTTTCATGTTCCAAAGGGGCCATGTTGCCTTGAGGAATAGGTTGTTGAAAAACTTACGTGTGTACTAGATGAAGGTTGCAAGCATTATAATAGAATTTCAGTAAACGCAATTTGATC